AGCGTGCCCGGGGACCCCAGGGGGAGACCCCAGCCCTCCTCCCCAGGCCAATCAACCCCAGTACATAAGGGAGGGCGGGGGCTGGGGGCACTGGGCAGAGTGCACATCTCACGGTGAGAACTGTTAATGGAAAAGGGAAAAATAAAAAAGTAAGAAGTACCAGGTGTTTTATTATCTAGGGCAAGATCCGAACCCAGGAGCGCAGCCCGAGGAGGGGTTAGGGTGCCTGAGAGGGGCCGGTTACCTCCAGTGCTGCAGAAGGCTTCTTTTTGAGTTCTTCACATTTTCGGAATTTGCAAATCTGGTGGCCAGTTTTGCGATTCCTACAACTGCTGCACTGCTCGCAGTTTATCCGTCTTCGGCAGGGCGGGCACATGCCGCATCTTTTCCGTTTCTTTTTCCCCGAATTGATGGCAGATGCCAACTCATTCTGCATGGGATACTCTGCCAAGCCAGCCATATGGAGCGCGCTCTCTGCCAGAAACACGCCGGCAGGGGTCATAATGAAAAGGCCTGGGTTGATGGGAAAAGCCCCCAGGTAAGGAAAATCAGAGGGGCCGTTCATTGTCTCTGCAGCTGAGACTGCCTCCATGTCAGAGATACCAGTCCCGTGGTCGCTTGCTAGAGGAAGATGCTCCTGTACCACTCTTTTGAGCATTTCTGTCGACTGAGCAAACTGTTGTAGGGCGGTCTGTCCTTCTGAGGAGATCTCCGACACCCGGTCTAATTTGCTCAGCATACTAGAGATGTTTTTGTGCTTTGAGGTAGAATGACTTTTATCCACAGTCGCTTCGTTGCCATTAGCTAAGGGGTTGCCTTTCTCTGAATGTTCGCTTACCGAGCTGCTGCTACCAAAGGTGGAATAGTGGGAGAGTGGACGGGACTTCTTAAGACTTTTGTTCAAAGGTTCACTTATTATTCCACTTTTGTTCCTCCTCTCGGAATTAACAGGGGGTTGAGAGTCATCTTGGTTATTTTTTTCCGTCTCTGGCTTGTTCCCAGTGTCTTGATGGGAGCCCGAATTTGACATGGTGCCCGGAGCACAACAACAAAACCAAACCCAAAATAAAAAAAAAAAAAAAACAACCCAAAAAACCCCAAAAACCCACCCCCAACGCCAAAGTGAAAGACCCCCAAAGCCCTTCTGGTAGCACCAGCCCGCCAGCCACCGGGGAAAGCTCAGACGGGAACGCTCATCAACGGGGCGTCTCCTCCAGCGTCGGCTGCAGAGGACTTCAGTCCGATCTCAGTGCAAAGACATACTCTGCAGCTCTGGTACACAACATGCGGCTCTGGAAGTAGAAAAGAAAAGAGAGTTAGCGCTGGCAAGAGCCACCGGGCTTTTCAAAGCGCCTCTTCCTCCCCCTGCCATGAAAG